CCAGTAAAAACCCTACTATTTGCCCAAGCGCGTCATTCGGTGTGGGGGAGTAGCCGCAGCATCCATCATCGGCCCAGACTAGTGTAGTAGGCGAAACTGGTTGTATAGAGGAATTGATTCATTTCCAGGTCTTTTGTAGCTTCTTGTCTATATTTCTGTCTCTCCCACTCTAACTCTCTCACTCTCTCTCTCCCAATGTCACGCCATAATCATTTTTTAGCGCCCGCCATGTTGACAACTATCGGTAGCCAATCTCGGCGGCTGTTTTTTATATTCCAAGGCGTTCAGTTATTCCTTGGATTCACCTGCTTAGCGCTTTCCTTCTCATGACTTTCTCAAGATGGGGCAGGGGGGCAAAGCCGATTTGGGGGCCATCCGGTGCACTTTCGCCCCCGTTCAATCAATAGCGGTCGCCGATCGTCTCAGCACGTCATTTTTTGGAAACAGCCCTTTCTAACGCTACAATTTTGGTGATTTTGCTGGGTTTTAATTTAAGTATGATCGCTTTAGTATAACCCTTTATAATGAATCTTGTAATTTTACAAAAGTTGACAAAAGATACAAAACATCTTACAAAAGTTGGTGCCGGCTGGGGGGGGGGGTTTCTAGACTCTTACCCGTTTAGGAATTTTTCTCGAAAATTTAGGGCAAGCTAGCAGCATTTATTGAGAATTTAGACTTTTACGAGTGAACCTGGCAGTCGATCGCACGTTTTCTTGATGACTCACTTGCAAGAAATTCGTCATCGGCGTTGAAAAACGGGTTTTTCGGTTTTGTGAAGCGCTCAAACGCGGTTTTTCCTTTATTTCTAGCATCGAGAACCCCCGGTTGTTACGATGGTGATTTGGCGCTTTACATTGTCTTCTCTTCGTTCCAGCTGGCTGCCGTCGGGGCGAATCAATTCATATTTTTGTCTAGCCTTCTGTCTGCCCCCTCCACGTTGCCCCACTCTCTTCCCCCTCCCCAAATACCTGTTTGTCGGCCGGTGTTTGCGCTCGTTGATAATCTGCCCGGAGTCAGCGGACGGGGGGCATCGATTGAAAGCGATCGCTAGGGAGCACGAGGTTTTCCGAATTTGATTAGATCTTTTAGCGCTGTTTTTTCGCCTTAAAACATTGAAGATAGCGATTTTGCGTGTTTCTTCGCGTTGTTTGAACTATTCCTATTTTTATTTAGCTTTGATATTTATATTTTTTGTGTAAAGCACAGGTTTTAGAGACATAATTCAATTCTTTCAAGGGGTTTCGCTACGGATTTTTTAAAATATACAAAAAATATAGCTAGTTCTCTCAATTCTTTGTACTTCGCGATTTTTTGTTGCTCGATTTTTCTACCTACCACTGCATTTTGACAAAAGTTCCTGGAGTAGCATAAATATGAAACATAAGTTTTAAAATTGGGTCTAAAACTCGTTTTTCTCGTTCCCCGTTGTTTCTTCAATTTTATGATTTCCTCTTCCTCTTCATCAAATTATTGTCTCAATTCCAGATATACAAAAGCCATGGGAAACAGCTCGTCATTAATGCTGCGCGACGAGGAGATTGACGAAATCTCCAAGGAGACCGAATGTGAGAAAGTTTCCCTAAATTCAAATCCCCTTTTTAGTCAATCGAAACCAAATCGTGCGGCTCTACTCCCGGTTTCTGTCCCTCGATAAGAAAGGTATTTTTTCTATCGATATGGCAATTTTTGGCGATTTTTCAGGACAAGGATACTTGGAACGGGACGATTTCCTGAACGTGCCCGAGTTGGCCGTCAATCCGTTGGGCGACCGCATCGTTGACGCGTTCTTCACGTTGGCGTGAGTTTTTCGTTTTTAACATCCGGTGAAAAAACCCGATGAAAATGTTTTTGTGATTAAAAAAATACGAATTTTGTCGTTTTTATTCATTTTCATCAATTTTTGATCAGGATTTCAACGATTTTCGAGATTTCTCAGTTTTTCGGGGCTTGTTAGAACTAAAATCAGCTTAAAACACTCAAAAAATTGTCAATTTAAGTAAAAATTTCGGTAGCAATGTGAAAAAACTCCTTTTTAGCGGCGACAACGAGCAGAAGCTGAACTTCCGCCAGTTCGTCCGCATCCTCGCCCACTTCCAGCCGATCAACCGCGGCAAGAAGAACGTGCTCAACGGCCGCAGGGACAAGCTGAAATGTTGGTTTTTGAGATTTAATGGCATAATGTATTGTTTATTAAAACGACGTCTTTTTGCTTTTTTAAGAAATTAGATTAATTTTATGTATTTTTACAATTTTCTAGATCAATGGAATCAGATTTTTAAAACTTCGCCTTGATTTTTGCAATTTTTACCGAATTTTTATATCCGTAATGAGTATAAAAACGTAATTCCCGTCTTTTCAGTCGCCTTCCAAATGTACGACCTGAACAAGAACGGGTACATCACGCGCGAGGAGTTCAAGGTGATCCTCAACTCCATGGTCGGCGCCAACATCACCCCCGAACAGGTAAAATAACATGTTTTGACTTTGGGTGACTTGCAGAGATCATTTGGGAGTGCAGTTTGTTGGAGATTACTTTGGAAATTCGATTATCGATCTAGGCCAGCAGCTAGCGGGGTTCGTTTAGGAATTTGGGCAATAAGGAATTTTTTTCCTGAATCCAGGGTGAGCCAGCAGAGATCGTTTAGGAAAAATTTCGGTGCTAGCTAGCAGAAGTCATTTGTGAAAATTCTTGGGTACTAGGGCAATGTAGCAGAGACTATTTAGGACACCTACGTTACGAAGCACGGTGGGGAAAACTAGCAGAGATCTTTAAGAAAATTCTTGAAATCTGGGGGATCTAGCAGAGAACGTTTAGGAAGGCTCCCCGAACTTTGCGGCGATCACTTTTGCGGCGCGAACTTTGCGGCGCGAATTTTGCGGCGCGAAGTTTGCGGCGCGAACATTGCGGCCGAATTTTGCGGCGCGCACTTTTGCGGCGCGAACTTTGCGGCGCGAATTTTGCGGCCGAATTTTGCGGCGCAACAGATATTAATGGAAATCATTTAAATTCAGAATTTGTTTTGGGTTCAGGATCAGATTTCAGAGGAATTTCAGAAATTCAGAATCAGAATCACCGCCAGTTTTGGTTTTGTAATGGTTATATATGTAATTCCATAAAAATTAACTGCAACTTTCCGCACTGCCGTGACACGAGACCTCTTGGGGGCGTCAGGCAAGGTGGGCCGTCGCTTCGGATGGGCTGCCGCTCCACTCTTTCGAAATCGAGGCGCCTGGGCGCTTCGCGCTGCTCGGGCGCCCCGATTTCGAAACCCTGTACGAGCTCGCACCCATCCGAAGCGACTAGGCCCCGGGTGGCACGAAGCCTTTTTCTAGTCGCAGAGCGAAAGAAATAGCGATGAATTTCCCCCAAATCGAGTGACTCCTGTCGCAAAACAGTCTTATAACGTTTCTATGACGAAATTCGGATGAAGTGCAAAAAAAATAACCTAAGGCCTGTGCCTAAGCATCGCGCCGCAAAATTCGGCCGCAATGTTCGCGCCGCAAAATTCGCGCCGCAATCTTCGGCCGCAAGGTTCGCGCCGCAAAATTCGCGCCGCAAAGTTCGCAGCCGCAAAATTCGCGCCGCAAAGTTCGCGCCGCAAAAGTACGCGCCGCAAAGTTCGCGGCACCTTTAGGAAGATTCTCGGGGGAAGGGTAGCAAAGATCATTTAGGAAAATTCTTGATGGTCTGTGAGGCCGAGCAGGGACCATTTCCGAAAATACCTAAAAGCTAGGGCGAGCGAGCTGAGACCGTTTTGGAAAATCCCTGAAAGCTAGGGCAAGCTAGCAGAGACCATTTAAGAAATTCTTGAATTTTTGGGCCCTTTCGGAAATTTTTTAAATGTGAAATAAACCAGCTAGTGGGGACCGATTCGAAAAATTTCCGAAATCTAGGGCGAGCGAGCTGAGACAATTTAGGAAAATTCCCCCTGGCAAGCTAGCAAATTCCCTTGTTTTTCAGCTCGACAAAATCGCCGACCGGACGATCGAGGAGGCGGACGGCGATCACGATGGGCGCATCTCGTTCGACGAGTTCTGCCGCGCCATGGAGAAGACGGACATTGAGGAGAAGATGAGCATCCGATTCTTGAATTAAATTTGCAATTCTTTAATTTAAGGAAAATTAATTCTTTTTCAATTAATATTTGCCGATTTTCCGTCGCACTACTACTTGTGATTGTCTCTCCATTTCATTTCATTTCCAAGCCATTCCCCCGGGTCCTGCCCCCTTAAAAATCGAAAAATTTAACTTTAAAAAGTATCCTAAAGTTCTTAAATTTTTAAAAAGCTTAATTTAAAAAATTTTAACCGAAAAAATCGGAATTTTCATGCCCGTTTACATTGTGCAATGTGTATTCTTTTAATTAATTTTAATAAGGGCAGCTTTCTACGATTTTAGAGAAAATTTTTTAGCTCCTCCGTGCCCGCCCGGTTGTACGTATGCGTAGTTTTTTCTGGCTTCCACAAATTGTCTCTGCTCGCTCTCTTTTTTTTCCAAATAAGCTATTCTGATTTATTCCTCATCAAAAAACAACAACAATTCCATCCGATCTATTCCTTTTCTTCTGTGTTTTTATGTATACGCGTGTTTTTTGTAAAATTACGGTAATAAAGATGGTAAATGTATTGGTTTGTGAGTTTTATTTAAAGCTTATTTATTTGTTGTTTATATACTGGAATTATTGTCTTTTCTAGCTTTTAAAAACTTATCTGAGTTTTAAGTGAATTCTAATTTTTGGCCCATTCTTTACTTTAATTTTTAGAAAATTACGTTTCCGGTTTTTAAATGCATTCATTAGCTTTTAAAACTTTTAAAAATTCATTGAGAATTTTTTAAGTTTATTTTGAGGAAGCGTTTACAACATTTTTCGTTTTAATGTTTAGAAAATCGCGTATCCGGCCGGCATATATATTTGTATTTTTTATAATTTATTTATTTGGCATTTATATACAGAAAATATTGATTTTTCTCAGTTTTTAGAAGTCCTAGAAAATCACGCCTCCGGCCGGCAGCACATTCTGATGCCCTTGATCGTCTTGTGGCAAATGTCGTCGAGCGACGAGCAGGGGGAGGCCAGGCCGCAAGACTCGCCGGTCTCCACGTGGCCGGCGGGGCAGCCTGAAAAATCTAATTCGAAGCTTTCTCGGGAGCGGAAAGCCGTCAACATCATCTACAATTGGCAAAAAACAGTCGGTTACGTTATGCAAAAAACGCGACTTAGGGAAAATAAAAAAAAACACTTCAAAAACAAAGAAAAACCCCAGGTAGGAAAAAATGCTTCATGTATTTAGTGCTAGCTGAGATAAAGGTCGCTAATTAATTCAGTATCGGATAGTCTTGACATCAATATATTTCATAGCTCAAAGTCCCAAAGATCGTTATATCTAGTTGTCAGCCGTCCCCAAAGATTCTCTGCTAGCCTGCCCTGAGAAACAAATAGCGAAAAAATGGCTTTAACGACAAAATGCTTCATTATTTTGGCCCGGGCCGAGAAAAAAAAGTTCGCTAATTCGTCTTCAGTTTGAGAGATACAATCCGTTTCTTTAGGATTCACGGGGGATCAGCATCTCGGCGCAAGTCTAAATTTTTTTATACATATTAGATGCGCTTTAACATCGTTTTTAACTATTCCTAGGCATAAAATTTAACAAATTTTAATTCCGAGGTTAATTTTTAGGTCGAAAAATTGATTTTTTCGACCCAAAATGACCAAATTTTCGACGTTGTCAAACAGTTTTATCACTTTTTTGAAAGTTTTTCTACTTTAAGCGTAGTTAAAACTTACTAAAAACACGTAAAACACTGTATATTTGTGTACTAGGCCAACCGGGACCGCCCGGGAAAAATTTTCCATCGAGATTATCAAGAAAAAAAGGCTAGAGAATCTTCGATAGCCGTTTGATCGCTTTCCACCTCAAAAAATCAATGTTTCACGCTTGTTGCGAGTTGGGCTAAATTTGGGGTCTTCAATGCGTTGTCGGTTACTACATCGAAATTCAGGCCATTCCAGGAAAATCTTAGTACGTATAAAAATTCCGAGAAACAGAGAGGATATCTCTGCTCAGCTCATCAATAGCTTTGGATTGATGAGAAATCGTAGAAATCGGATTCTCCTCCGGATCATTAGCTGGTTTTTGGGGACACGTTATAGACCAACGATTGGTATTTTTGCCGCGCAGCAACACGCATCCATCCTATCTTCCATTGCGTAATTGATGACGACCCGTTAACACGTTACAACGATTGCCAAGATTAGTATACAACCAGAAAGGAGACCATTAATTGGGTATTTTTGACAGGAATGTCGCTTTAGGATGAAACTCACGATTCATCCCCTTGCAGCAGACGCGTCCGGTCGGGTCGCAGATCGAACCCTGGCTACAGTCGGAGGAACGAGCGCATCTGAAAATCGACGTATGGGAGGACGCAGGCTGCAACGATTTTAAAGGGACTGTGACCCTAAACTTAACGTTCAACTAACTTAAGCTATCATTTAAAAAAATGTTTCGTCGAAAAGGCACCCATAAAAAACTTCTTTTTCAGCAATAATTGAGCGTTCTTAAATTCCATCTAATAACGGGCAGGCTAGCAGAGATCATTTGTGATGAGAGAGAGGGGGAGGGGGCAGGCTAGCAGAGATCATTTGGGATGAGAGAGAGGGGGAGGGGGCAGGCTAGCAGAGATCATTTGGGATGAGAGAGAGAGGGGGAGGGGGCAGGCTAGCAGAGATCATTTGGGATGAGAAGGGGAGGGGGCAGGCTAGCAGAGATCATTTGGGATGAGAGAGAGGGGGAGGGGGCAGGCTAGCAGAGATCATTTGGGATGAGAGAGAGGGGGAGGGGGCAGGCTAGCAGAGATCATTTGGGATGAGAGAGAGGGGGAGGGGGCAGGCTAGCAGAGATTCTTTATGGAATCGGAGCAAACCTGATCAAATTTCCGAGGCGATCCACAGCCGGTTCCCCACGTAGCCCAACGCGGCATTCAATCCCTAAAGACCATTATTGCGTGTTTTAATGTGATTTTTATACGTTTGCACTCGCCATCCGTATAGGAGAAACCGGGCGGGCAGGCGCAGATACTCTAAAAATCCTCAGTTAACATCAAAAATGAATGTTTTACGATTTCAAATCGCAAATTAGTGCTTCAAGAATTTAATCTGACGTAGAATAAAAGCGATAACAAAAAACGGTGGTCTAAAACGATTAAATTAGCGAATTAAAACGACTTGACTAATCCGAATTTGAAAATCTGAAAATTAATGTTTCCTTTTTTCAAAAATTCTGCTCACCTGTAGACAGCGTAATTTCGCGGTTTCACTGGGATCCTGGGCGTTTTGTGCGGGTTGCGAGACGCATTGCTCGTCCACCTAAATTTGGAAGGTTTTTTAATTTCCTGATCCAAATATTAATAGTATTAATGCGTATAGAAAGCTCAAAGAGAATCAAATTATAATAATAAGGTTTTTAATATTGGCAAAAACCACGAAAAAAGGTTTTTTTAATTTTATGGAAATCTTTGTTTTCTCTAAATTTATTGTGAATTTTATGATTATTCATAATTTTATACGTAGTAAGATAATATAACAATGAAAGGGCGGTAATCTATTACTAAAAAACAACATTAATAACCTATGTTGAAATGTGGTAAAAAATGTTTCAAAAATTTTCCTACCATGGTTGAATTTTCTAACTTTAATTCATGTGGAGGCACGCGAGAATTTAAAAAAAGGAATGAAAAGCTAAAAACTCCATTAAATAACTCACAAAGCAAGAATCGCCATTATATGCCATTGGATAGCACTGGCCGTCAAAGTAGAGGTCTTCAAGGGAGACGCACGGTTTTGGGCAGCAGATCTGAATTTAAATACGTCAATTAAACACTTTTAAATATTCGTAAAAAATTAGAAAATTTTTATTTCTATAACCTGATTTTTAAATTGAATTTAAACTATTAAAAGCGGTTAAAAAATGTCTTTCAAGGGTTTAATAATGAAGCGATTTAAATTACTGTAGTAAAACCTATGGATTGCCTGAAACAATTCCACGAAAAGGTCAAAGCTCCTAAACGCTCTCTGCAAGTTTGCCGAGTTTGCCAAGAGTGAGTTTCGCGATTTTTTTTTGAGAAAATAAAAGATCAATAAGTTAAATTTTTATGTAACATCACTATACAATAGCAAAAAAGGTTTTCCTGAACTAATACGTAGACATCTCTCCAATCGATTTCAGTAGGCTAGCAGCGACCATTTAAAATTCACAATTTGAAAACGCTTTCAGCCGCGGACTTTTGACAAAACAAACAAATTTTTCAGAATTGAAAAATTCATGTTTCGAAAAAAGTTGCTTATAAAGGAAAAGCCGGCTCGCCAGTGCAAGTCTTTCCGAGCCCATAAAAACATAAAAACACGGAAGAAATCCATCGGATGGTGTTGTTGTCGTTTTTTGATGAGGAATAAATCGAGAACAGCTGGTTTTGAAAAAGGAGAGAGAGAGTGGGAGAGCGAGCAGAGACAATTTGTGGAAGCCAGAAAAAAACTACGCATACGTACAACCGGGCGGGCACGGAGGAGCTAGAAGATCTTCGAAAAAAAAAAAAAAAACGTGGATAGCTGCCCTTATTAAAATTAATTTTTTAAAATACACATTGCACAATGGAAGGGATTGAATTTAAACTATTAAAAACCGTGCAAAACGTTCTATCAAGGGTTTAATAATTATGAGATTTAAATTACTACAGTAAAATCTATGGACTGCTTGAAGCAATTCCATGAAAAGGTCAGAGCTTCTAAACGCTCTCTGCTAGCCCGCCCGAGTTTGCCAAGAGTGAGTTTGGCAATTTTTTTTGAGCAAAAATGATCAATAGCATAAATTTTCATGTTTCATCAATATAAAATCTTAAAAAAAGTTTTCCTGAGCTAATACCTAGAGTTTCTCGTGTTATCCTACATCCGCTTGAAACTCTTTAACCGTAAGCTGTCTCCTCCACTCACCAATCCATTAAACTAGGCTAACAGCGACCATTTAAAATTCAAAATTTTAAACGTCTTCAGCTGCGGGCGTTTGATAAAAACGAACAAATTTTTCCGATTTGAAAAATTCATGTTGCGAAAAAACTTGATTATACCGAAAAAGCCGGCCAGCCAGTGTATTCTTGAAAAGTTCTTGTTCTTGTTGGTTAACGTAAATGCGTAATAAATTTTATATCATAAAAAGTGCTTTTTATAGGGATTTTTCCCGTTCCACGGTTATGTAGAAAGAAGAGATGTGGAAATTCTATTCGCGGGCATTGCTCTAATTCTGCCGGAACTAAAAAATGAAACATTTTTCATCGATTGCGCTGAATTTGTTCTAGCAGGGCAGGCTAGCAGAGGATATTTGGGGGAATCTGGCGAAAAGCTCAAAATAGAGACTTTCAATTCGGCCTTCAATTCCAGTATGCCGCGAAACCCACGAAAATTTGGTGTTTTAAGAAATACGGGGGTAAAAACTCGGCCGGGTTGCGCAATGCCCGCTATTATTGATCCTACTATATATAAAAAAGTAGTGTCTGTGTGTGTGTGTGTGTCGATTTGCATGCAACTTCCGTCAGGTTGTTCCAGTAGTATCTCAAGAAGGAGAGTAGTTAGGGGCATGTTTGATACGTCATTAGGTGCGTAATGGCCTGGGGATGACTGCACAACAATAAAATTTTCAAAAATGAGCTGTTTTTGACCTTAAAATTAAGTTTTTGTTGAAAAATCCAGGACCCTCTTTGTTAGGAAACAATTAGCAACGCCGGAAATGGCGGTAGCCTATATAAAGGGAAGAGAGGTAGCGTTTCTCTTTTTTTGTGATCGAAAATCGTGAGAGTTATACAAATTGAAGAATATCATGGGATCAGACGGCGCCAGGGTTGAAAAGTCGCGAAGCGGCTTTTCAACCCTGGTATTAAAATAAAAATGTTACACAACGCTTGGGATGCAAGAGAATTCAGAAACGTACAGTTATACGCTTCGATTCACCTTTGAATTTTTGCAAATAATCTCTGCTAGCGTGCCCTTCAAATCCCTAGCATCTGTATTGTTTATAGCGTTCAAAAGCCCCTATTCAAAACTCCACAAAAATTTTCCAAACAAATTCCTTAAAATAGAAATGTTACATAAAATATGGAATGCGCGACATTGCAGAAATCGCCAATCCTTCGTTGATGACGCGTATTCTAATTCTAGATTCTCCCAAATAATCTCTGCTAGCCTGCCCTCGATTTAATGCAATCTTTATAAAATTAGATCGCCAAAAATTTGCCATTAAATGTTTCAAAAAGCAAACTAGTATCGTTGCACAAAAATTACTTAATGCTCGAACGAATGCTCCGGAGGATAACTCAATAGGGGGTGAATATTAGGGGTACGTATGATACGTCATTAGGTGCGTAATGGCTCTGCGATGACTGCACGCATAACAGAATTATCGAAATACGCTATTTTCGATATTAAAAATAAGTTTTTCTAAAATTTTCGAGAACCCTCTTTGGTAGGAAACAATTAGCATATACCGGAAGTAAGAGAAGCCTATAAAAGCCTATTGAAGAAAATCTTTTCATTTTTGTCAGCTTGATCGAGGCAGAATTATGCAAAGTGGACAGTTTCATTTGTCCAAACGGGGGCCAGGGTTGAAAAGTCGCGAAGCGGCTTTTCAACCCTGGTTTTCATCTAATTTTATGACTTTTTCATCAGAATTTCTTTTGGATTTTGCCGCGGTACGCACCCCTTCCGACCGGCTTTCCATTCGGCTAAATTAATTTTTAAATGTTAATTAATTTCTTTTTACTTACATTTAAAATTTATTCCTGTTTTGCTCCTTTCACGGTTATGTCGAAAAAGAACCATCAGTCTGATGCAGACGCATTAGTGAAACGCCCTATCACCGCTAGGTCCAAAATTATGAAACATTTTTTGTTTGCCAAATTTTTTTCACTAATTTCTCTCTAGGCAGGCTAGCGGTCGGAATTTGCGGAATATATCCAAAAAGTTGATTGATTACGGGTCCTGAATTCAAAAAGATTACTTTTGGAATTTCCAAAGTTATGTTTCAAAAAATATATGACACCAAAAGCCCGAAGGATGGCGTGTTTTTCATGCCTTTGGTGGTTGCCCTATTGAGCCCCTATCAGAAATTGTTGACATTGATTCGCTAGTTCAAAACTTTTCCGCTATTTTTTTCAAGGTATGCTAGCAGAGAACATTTGAGGAATCGGGCCACAACGGTCGATCGATTTCTAAATTCGAAAACAACGAAAAAAGATAATTAACAAACCCTCGGAAAATTTTATGTTTCAAAAAATATTAATGTTAAACGCGCGTCCGATGGCGCAATTATTGCCCTGCCTTGGGATTTTGGCTATTACGGTCCTATAAATTTTGCCAACCGCGGCACGCAGCGCTGCCGCGCCGCTTGACCCCCTTGAGCTCGTCGTACTCCATTACACAACGGAATAGTGCGAAGGGAAGCGTTGCGCGTGGCGTCGCAGTAAAATACAGAGGAATATATTTTAATAGAATTTATATATTAAATATAAAGGAAGAAAAATATATTTTATGAATATATTTATCCTTGGCTTGCCCGTGCTTTTAAGAAAACAAGACTTTCGTTGCGGAATTGAAGAGCTATATCGACCCTGGTGGCACCAAAAGAATGAAACATTTTTTGCTAGCTCGAATTTTTCCGCTGATTTTGTCCAAAAGCACGTTGCCAACAAGGTATAGCGATATAGCCTGGCATTAACAGGAATTTGTTAATGAAATTAAATAAATATTATTAAAAATTTATGCCAAAAGAGTTAACCGATGTTTTATTATCGTTATTTAATTAAATTAATTTTTAAATTTTAATTAAATTTTGGTTTACATTTAAAATTTATTCTTATTTCTCTTGTTTTACGGCTATCTTCAAAGGGCTGGATTATCGAGATGAAACATTTTTTAAACACTTTTGCCAAGAATATTTGACTAAACTAATTTTTAATTTTAATTAAATTTTCGTTTAGATCTAAAAATTTTGTTCTGATTTTGCCCTTTTTACTGGGCCGAATTAGCGACTTTTGCTTGCCCCTTCCATGCTTAAAAGAATGTAGGATTTTTTAAAACAGTTTTTCCAGGAATTTATTCTCACGGCAGCCTAGCAGAGAGCATTTGAGGAATTAGGCCAAAAAGCTCGAGCGATGTCTTCAAAGAATAAAAAACAAATTCTAAACCCTGTAAAAATTGCATGTTTCAAGAAATATCTATTTCAAAAAGAACCACAGCGGCGTAATACAGTTGCGTACTTCTTCTTTATTTTTGCCTATAAATTCTCCCTGAATTTGGCCTTACCAGCTCCTTTAAAGACTGCTTAAATTTTTAATATAAAGGCAGGATAGCAGAGGGCATTTGAGGAATTTTTAAAAATAAAAAACCTACCTCTTTTTCGGTGGATACCGTATCCCGATGGCAGTAGTGGTCGTCCGGGCACCCGGCGCAGCCGTAAGAGGGCATCTGGAATTTTTTTAATAGTTTTTATATGCTTGCAAAAAATTTGATTAGTTTGTATCATTGTTTTTAGGCATTTTTAAAAAGGAACTAGAGGTAGATTGAGGAAACCACGAAGTTCTGCATTAAGTAATTTTTGTGCAACGATACTAGTTTGCTTTTTGAAACATTTAATGGCAAATTTTTGGCGATCTAATTTTATAAAGATTGCATTAAATCGAGGGCAGGCTAGCAGAGATTATTTGGGAAAATCTAGAATTAAACGACGCGTATTTCTCGAAGAATTGGCGGTTTCTGAATTGTCGCGCATTCCATATTTTATGCAACTGTTTGGAAAATTTTGTAAAGTTTTTATAATAGCGGTTTTTGAACGCTATAAGCAATAAAGATGCTAGGGATTTGAAGGGCAGGCTAGCAGAGATTATTTGCAAAAATTCAAAGGTGAATCGAAGCGTATAACCATACGTTTCTGAGTACTCTTGCATCCCCAACGTTGTGTAACATTTTTATTTTAATAGTTCTGTGAGTCGAAACACTTTGCAAAACATTTTAAAAATTTCGTTTTGAAAGATGAGCAATAAAAATGTGAGGAATTTACTAGTGGGCAAGCTAGCAGCGAGCCCCTGCGGAACGAGTTTTCGACGACAGATATGCATATTTCTCCTTGTTTTCATGAAACGATCATTATTGGTTTTGCCAGTCGCTTCAAATCGGAATTTTGTGAAGCACCGAATTTAGAAATGTTTGGAATTCGGGCAGGCTAGCAGAGATCATTTGGGATGAGAGGGAGGGGAGGGGCAGGCTAGCAGAGAGCATTTCCGGAAATTACCTGGCTGCTGGAGTGGGGCTCACCAACGGGGCACACCGGCTCACGGGGCGTCGGATTCGGGCAGCAGAATCCCTAAAAATCTGGGTTTTTGGAGAAATACAGGACCTTTTTTGCCTCCCATTCTTATCAGCTTTTCAAAACTTATTAAGTTTCTGCTGAATGAAAAAAAAGGTCAAGATGGCTTTGTTAATCAGAAAATTTAATCATTTTTTAGGCTAAAATAATTAAAAAACCCCGATATTTTGGTCAAAACGCTTCGTTTGATAGTTTTTATAGCGTCTTGTAGTTTATAGCCCACCTGATAATACCCGGGCTTTTGCGGATCGTCAAAAACGGCCACGCAATAGTGCCCAAAATCGCAGGTGTCTTGGACGTCAGCAAATTGCGTAGAGTTCGCTCCGGCGGGGCTTGCAGTTACTGGAAAAAGCAAGGAAAATTAGAAGCGCAGAAGGCCGAATTAGGCTTTTTACATTTTCAGTTTTTTAATTAGTGATGAAACACATTTTTCCAAGGTTTTGGCGAAGTAAATAAATCACTCATAACTTTTGAATTTTTGATGTAAGGCATGTTTTCACAAATTTCAAAAATTCAAATCAGACAAACTAAATTTGAATTTCTCAATTTAATTAGAAAAATTAAATTCTTTTGCAAAGCCACGAAGCGGTTTGTCAATCCTGGCTTTTGTTAAAACTATAAAAAGGCGGATTCTTCGATCAAAAAGCGCGTATCTTGTCCGGCAACTTGCATTAAAATGGTGATAAATCTAGTATTTTTAATTCTGATTAAAACACATTTTGCAAAAATTCTGGGTAGGTTGGATCAAAAATTTCTATCTTGAATTTTTGATGTCATTTTTAAATCATCATCTACAAAAAATCATGTCTCCAAAGACTTTGTCGGCTTGATCAACAATTTTAATGTTTCAAAGTCGATTTGAATTTAGAAAAGTTAAATTCCTTCAATTCTTTGCGCAAAAGCGGACAGAGAGTTCACCTGGCCTACCCAATTTTTTCTAGTATAAATGGCGAAACGGTTTTCTAGCTTGTTTTTTACGATTCTTGCTGTAAAACGTTACAAAACAATTTTTATGAAAATTTTTTTGAAAAATATCGACTTTCCGGAGAAAATGTCGAATATGTTTAAAATTTTTCAGGCACTTGTCGCCTTGTTAAATTTCGTTAAATTCTTCGAAAACTATTAAAATACTTGCTATTACTTTACCAATCATTTCTGGGATTATACAAAAAATTCGGTCGACCCCCAATCAATGGAAAAGCACCATTCTAAACAATGGTATCGTTATTTAGTGACAATAATAGTAGTGCAGACAAGAGGCGTTTAATTAACCATTTTAACGAGGATATGATTTAGCAAAGTAGCCCCACATGTTTTTTCTAAACCATAACTCAAGAATTTCCCAGACACGATCCAGGCTGATTACGGTTAGCAAGCTCTTGGATATCCCCTAGAAAAAAAGAAACATCTCGTCCTGAAAAAATTAATTGCTTTGTTTTTGGAAGTATTATGATCCTACTTTTTGTATTATTTCAAAAGAATTAAATTTAGCCTCAGAGCATCAGCTTACCGTCCATAATTTGGTACCCGTCCGGTTGGCCGCCGTTTTCTTCCGGGTTTTCCGGCACTGGACCCTCCAGAATTTCGGTGTCGTTGTCAAGCTTTCGGAGGCGCGAGAATCGAGCCTAAAATGAAAAATTCTATCTCTCTCTCTCACTCTCGGTCTCGCTCTCTCACTCACTCTCTCTATCGCTCTCTCTTTCTCTCACTCTGTCTCTCTCACTCTCCCTCTCTGTCTCCCTCTCTATCTCGCTCACTCTCGCTCTTCCTCTCTCTCTCGCCCTCTCTCTCTTCCCCTTCTCACTCTAGCTCTCTTTCTCCAGCTCTCTCACTCTAGCTCTCTGTCTCTCTCTGTCTCCCCTCTCTCTCTCACTCTCGCTATCTCTCTCCTCTCTCTCTCGCGCTCTCTCCCTCTCTCTCTCTGGCTCCCTAACCTGTTGCAGCGAGCAGGTAATCAGCTTGTCGCGTTTCATCAGCGGTGATTGCCCTCCGACGCACTGGTATTCTAAACAAGATACTTCAAGGATAAAAAAAGATGTTCCAAAAAGGTATAATAACGGGTTTTTTCTAGCACGGAGTATTAAAAGAAAGGCTCGCAATTCGAAGAAAGACAAAAAGCTTAAAAATGCTCAAATTGCCCGTTTGACTTCATCAAATAAATCCAGCAAAAAATGGTTTCAGAATCGGTTATAATAAAGTCACGCGATTTAGCAGTAGTTTTGAGAACTTCAGGCGGCAAAAATTACATTAAAATGCTTCAGCTTCACAAAAAAAACTAGTTGTTTTGGAGAACCTAATGTTCCGCTTTCCTTTTGGTGTGTTTGATTCGATTGCAATTTTCTGGTTATCGCTTCAAATTCTGAAAAATATTCCTTAATAAACCTAACGTGCTTCAAAAATTTGTGATTTTTAATTTTAATCGTTGTAGGATTGGACGTGCGAAGATGAGATTTTTATGTTTGAAAAAGCTAAACAAAACATTTAATTTGATTTGATTTAATTTGAAACATTAAATTGAAGTGTTTCGTTGTACTTTCAGTTTTAGCTACCTTAAAATGGCCCGTTTGGCTTCGTCAAAAAATCCAGTAAGAGATTCTTTCAGAATCGGTTGTAATAAAGCCAAGCGAGGTGCCAATTAATCCAGGTGAGATTCGAGCCTACAAACAATTAAATTGTTATATTTCAAAATTAAACCGGTAGCGTCAATTCTGCGAAGATGTAATTAGGTCATTATCATTACTGCAATCTCCTGGGTTTAGCAGCAATATTTAAAATAGACTGCCATTAAATTAAAATGTTTTGAGAATGTACCTTCGCCGGAACGGCAATTTTTGTCGTAGTACGTTCAGTTTTAGCGTAGTACTTTAAAATTGCCGGTTAACAGCATCAACAAAAAAGCCAGTAAAAGCTAGTTTCAGGATGGGATAGTCTTAAAGTTCCGTAATTCCACTTGATGAGATGAAATTGCTAAACTACGAAAAGTTACTTTGATATGTTTCAAAATTACACCGGTAGTGTTTTTTCTGAGAAAATTTTAGTAGGCTCACTGACGCGGTAGTTAAATAAAAATGTTTTAAAAATCCAGCTGAACCGGCAAGGCCAAAGCCAAACAATGATTTATTCAGAACATGTAGGATTGAAAATCGACCCATTTTTTCTATGGTTTCCCACATTTTTAAGATTGGATTTACGAAGATAAAATTTTGATGCTTCAAAAAAGGCAAACAAACAAAAATTTATCGCTGCTGGTTATTAGACCGTTTTAGCTTCATTAAAACAATCCAATAAAAGATATTTCCAGGAAGATATAGTCTAAAAATCCCAGAATTCCAATTAATTAGTAATAGGTAGGCGCCGAAACATTAAATTTATAAGTTTCAAACTTTACACGCAAAGAGCATGTTTTGAGGATCCTATTGGATTACGCGTTCACTTGATTACTGTAATCTTCTGCGTTCAGTCAAAGAATATTCCGCAATTCAATGAAAATGTTTCAAAAATATAACTAAAATGGGTAAAATCCTACTTAGTATTCGCAAGGTCTTAAACGCTTTCTGTTTCGATTTCCCGAATATTGAATTTATTTGATAAATATATATTACGAAATCTATCAATAATTATTTAAAGTTTGAATTAATATTATTATACTTTATTTATAGGAGAATAAAATCTTAGAAACTTGGAAAATAGTTCGAACCCCTTCAAATAAATCAATTCTGCCGATTGTCCATATGCTAATAAGATGTTGCAAAAAAACAGCTTTACCGCCAAATTATGAAACTTTTAATTTGTTCATTCGGCCAGATTGTAACTTTAATCCCATAATCTTAATAACAATAGTGTTAAAATTGTTCACTGGGTTACTGTAATTTTTGCGTTTAGCAACAAATTTTAAAATATTCCGTAATTAAAACATTTTCCGAAAATTTAGCTAATCATAATTTTAAATGTTTTTGGTCGATTTTATAAATATCTTACGAATCTATTAATATTTACTGGAAGATTTAATAAATATTATTAACAAAAACCAGGGTTGAGAAGCCGCTTCGCGACTTTTCAACCCTGGCCCGTCTAACCCCATTTATCCTTCACTTTACATAATTGTCCTGAATTCAGATGACAAAAACGAAACAACTTTCTGTGCCTTATATAGCCGAACACCACTTCCGGTCTATGCTAATTATTTCCTAACAAAGGAGCTTTCACAAAAACTTAAATTTAATGTCGAAAATTGCTGATTTTGCAAAGTTGCAAAGTTGCAAACCATTCAAATAAATGAAATGTTGCAAAAAAATACCTTTACCGCCAAATTAGCAAAACTAATCTTTATGCACACTTCAAATCATTAATCCTATAATCGTAATAGAAAAGTGCGAAAATATTCCTGTAAACTACAGCCGATATGCCACTTACTGATCGGTTTGCAGCCGCCGTCGCCGTCGCGCTGGAACCCGGGTTTGCATCTGAATTTTTAGTTTTTTCTTTTTCGCGATCCACGCCTTTTATTAGAGGTGTCAAATTTTCCGCGACTTTATTATTCTTTGAAACATTTTAATTGCAAGCAAATATCAAAGTGACCGGAACGGCAAAAGCCGCTTTGGCTGCTTTTAACAGTGTTTTATGAAAGTGGCTGCCTTAAGAAATTAGCTCGTTAAAAATTTTTCTGGTATCATCATTTTCGGGAACATTTAATTTTTTACGGTGCGCGCAAAATGGAAACTGGAATTTGCACCATCTGTTGATTAAAACTTAAGGAATTCTAGAAGTGACCTCACCATAAAGTTTTGGAATTCGATGTCGGGACTGCGGCTAATCAAAAATACAAAACGGCTTCAGGTATTAGCGCTTTTGAACCATACATTTTTGTGTTTTGATGGAGATATAAAATTACTATGCAATTCTATAGCGTTTTCAGTTATTTTTGATATTTATGATTTTATATTTGAAAGTTATAGGAATATTTTTAAAAATTCGAAAATGTCGCCTTTTCAGGTAATTTTTTGAATTATGAATTTTCAATAAGGAAAAATTTCGCCAATTGTTATGATTTTTGATGAACTTTTTATCTCTGCAGACCATGTAAACGCTATAAAATGATTTAGATTTTCTTATAAGGCCGTGCTGAATTACTGGGAAAAATTCGATTCGATTTTTTATAAAATGGCCACCAATTAAATGCGGTTTTGAAATGAATTGGCTGATTTGAACTGCCAGTTATTGACCGATTCATAGGCTTTTTGATTCTATGACTTTTTGAAACCTCAAAATTTGCGGCTGGGCCCGAAAGGGATAACCCAAATTACCTGCAAAAGACCATAATTATATTTGGAAAATATCACGAATTTTTATATAGCAGAATTTTAAAATGGTTTAAAAGGAAAAATAAGAAAATTTTGTCGTATATTTTGACGACATTTAAATTGCCTAAAAATACCTGCAGCCGCCGGTGGCGCATTCCGAGAACGCCGCCGAGCACTCCAGGTCGCTCGTGCATTTTTCCTGAAAGTAAAAATGAAAGTTAGGTGATTTAATAATTTCTGAAGTAATTTTCGACATAGAATATTAAAATATTATACAATTCAAAACTTAATTCTTAATAAATGCAAATTTAATTTACTTCACAATCTTCAATGGGTGGAAACGAAAATTCGGTTTTAAAAGCGCCAAAATCTATTAATTTTTCCGAAACACGATTTTTCCAAATAGTGGAACTATCTTGATACAGTCGTTTAAAGATTTCTTTCAAGTATTTAAGGGTAATTTATAATTTATTTTTAGTAATAGAGATGCGCTTGAAATTGTTCAAAAATAAAATTGTAGCATGACGATCTATTTTTTAAGATGCGATTTTTTTAAAGCTTGTCGACTTTTTTAAAAGAGAGATTTTGGCCATACCACCTATGCTGCTCAACGTAATCTGTAATGCACCCCTAATTTTCAGGAAACGCATTTTTCTCGTGGAAAAATTCACCTTTTTGGGCAAGATTTAAGTCTTAAACTTTAAGATGTGTTTTCATTATCGTAGTCCTACGTTTTAAAATGAATAAAACAATAATTTAGAAAATAAAGATTTAAAAACGCAGAAAGATTGATTCCTTGTTGGTATTTGTAAATCCGAAAATTGCTATTATTACCTCAATTAATTTGCGAGGCTCGCTGGGCCTTTCCGAAACAAATTTTTTCAAAAAAAAGTTGTAAGCTCATTTTTATAATTTTTAACGCTTTGAAAATTATTACAAAATAAATTCGTCCTAAAGTTCTTTCACAAGGAACAAAGGCAAGATTACCCGTCATGAGTTGCCCTGAGCTTGTCACCTAGGTGAAACACGTTTTTCCAGTTAAGCGAGTCTTTCGATTCAAGTTAAAGGATTTAAATAGATAAACATTGTCTTTATACATTGTCCTGTGACTTATTATTTATATTATTTTGAAACTTCCATGAATTTTCTAATACCTTTAAGCGTCTCCTCAGCCTACGGCAGCTCTTCCCATCCGGTGCCGCCGAGTAGCCGAATTTCGAAGGGCATTCGCAACTATAAAGAATTTGATAGCCGCTTATTTAATAATTTCGAAATCGGTGAAAATATCCTTTATTGGAATGACCTTTTATTAATTTTTAAGATGGACTGTTGAAATTCTATGTTTCGAAAAAATTTAGGTTTCCAAAAAATTTCCAGTACGTAGTCAGCAGCCTTCCATAGATGCCCAGATCTTCTTCCAAACGATTTATAAAATTGAAAATTGCTAAACCGTCAATAAAAAACAAGAATGGTTGGCTACTTTATTAAGCTGGTTTATTTAGATAGCGCATTCCCGAAATTAAAAAATCTTGTTGTTGCTAAAAAAATGCGATTTCTAAACGGTGTTTCATCTAGCCTTAACAATCCAAAAAATGGAACTCGTTAATTGATCTGCTGCGGTCTTGCTAAAAACGTCATTTGCACTTTTTCCAAAAATGAGAATTTTGGGCTAATTTCCGATTCAATATTCAGATGAACTAGATCCCCGTTAAGTCATGAAAATTCGGAGCATTTTTTTGGTTTCAGAGGTTTTCAAATTTTGAGTTGTGTGGGAATTCAATGTCGTAGTCAAGTCAAGTCAAATAAGAAGGATTTTTTGCTTTATTAAGCTGGCTTAATTAGATGGCGCATGCCCAAAATTAAAAAATCTTGTTGTTGCTAAAAAAATGCGATTTCTAAACGGTGTTTCACCTAGCCTTAACAATCCAAAAAAATTTGGAGCGCGTTAATGGATTTTCAATGTTTGACAAAAACTTCATTTGTCTTTTTTTGAAAGAATTTGAATTCAAGGGTTGTGCGGGAATTAATGATCGTAGTAATAGCATCTCGCCTACTAGAATACAGCTTACTTTACTCCCTGAAATGAATCCCAAATTTATCACTCTTTTAATTTCACCTAAATTTATATAGAAGCCTTGCTTTGGTTTTTAGTATTTTACATCACTAAAAAATGCGTTAAAAACTGCAAAAATTCAATAAAACCTACGCGCAAACATTGGCCGAATTGCACATGCAAGCGGCGTTTCCCTCACATCCGGTGGATGGGATGCAGAATTCGCCGAGGAGTGGGCGGCTGGGAGGCTCTGGGAAATCCACAAATGGTCTCTGCTGGCTTGCCCTCTTTCTCATCTCTCTCTCTCGCTCTCGCTATCTCTCTCTCACTCGCTCTCTCTCCCACCTTCTCTCGAAATTTTACCGAGACCAAGCTCTTATTTTTTTTAGAATTTGTGAAATGCAACAAACTACAATGTTTTCATCTTTTTTGAAACCCACATTCATTGAAACATCAAATTTGTACGAGGCTTTGTAAATCGTATTTTCATTTCAACGCTAACAAAGAAAACTTTTCGGCAAACTGACACATTTCTCAAATTCTCTCTGCTAGCTTGCCTCGCCAGAAACAGCCTTGAAAAATGTCCAAAAACGAAAAATGTTTCCCGGTTTGGGTGCTAACGGAGAGGATTAGGGTCGGTAATAATCAGCGCGCTGTGGATTCACTTGAAAAATTCCACAATTCCGGAAAATCACCTCAAATGTTCTCTGCTGGCCTCAAAACTCACTGGAAAATTTGCAGAAACCCAAAATATTTAACTTTTTTAGATCGAGCAGCAAGAAATAATTTTTATTTATTAAAGGGTCCAACAATGCTTTTTTTTACCTTCTTGCTCGCAAAAATCCCACACTATTCTCGAAAAAAAATTCCCCTAATGATCTCTGCTAGCTTGCCCTGCCAAAACTCGTAACAAAATTGAAAGGAAAAAGAAAATCGCGAAACGAAAAATGTTTCATTTTTAGCCCTGACAGTGGCGGATTCGGCTTTAGTATTGACTCCTCTGTATCGACTCGTATGTGTGTGCCTCGGTATGGAAATTTATCGCAAAAATCGATATTTTTTGACTTCCTAGACTGAGTCTAGTAGACTCTTTAAAATGCCAAAAACACTTAAAAACCAATAGACTTCAAAATATCTATGATTACTTACCAGGCTTACTAACTGGCAGCTCCTCTTCGTCGGCCGAGGAGCAACAGAAGCCGGTTTGTTGCTCACAGTATCCGGAGCCGGGGCAAGGCATCACGCGGCCGGACTGCAAAAAAAATGTTAAAACGGTTCTTTTGCATTATCGGGGGACCAATTTTTTGTATAATTTAAATGCCTAGTCAATTAATGGGAGGCCTTTTAATTGTTTAAATGGCGTTTTTAACAGTAAAAAAATGCCATTTGGCAGGTTTTTACGAACGCTTTACGAACGAATTTTTCCCTTAAAATCAAATGTTTCATAGGTGAAAGGTGTGATGCCATGCGATAATTTGGACAGGAGATAATACCAAACAAAGTTTGAAAAATGGTTTCTTTTCCGGTATTTTTGTCAGATACGTTTTTTACTTTATCTGTTAAAAACTGATAACCTAATGTGTTAATGGACCTGTAGAAACTTACCTTAAATTGGCACATGATCGGCTTGCCGGTCAGCTTATCGAGCATCGCTTTCGTGGGTAGAGGGCAGGTTCGGAGTTCTAAATTTCATTTTTTTTGTTTTAGCTTTTAGCATGGTGGATTTTTACGGTTTCCAGATTTATGTTTCATTGCGACTCAAAAATCAAGAATAAAACGGCTCAACGATCACAATAACTTTCGATTTCTAAAAAAAAACCCAACTTGGATCTCATTTTTCAAAACTAAATAGTGAAAACGGTTCTAAATCGTTTTTTACTATTCCTAAAGGTAAAACTTTACAAATTTATATAAAAAAATAAAAAACAAAACTCGATTTTTGCCCAAAATTTCGGCTTTTATGCAACATTTTTTAACATCTTAGATAGTTTTTCTAGTTTAAATATAGTGATATTTTGCTAAAAACACTTTAAAAACACTTCCTATTAAGTTACTAGGCATTTCTCGAAAAGTTCTCCCCCCGAAAGAACCGTTCCTCCCTCTCAAAGTCCGTCGAGTTTCAAATGATGATTTTTATTTGGTTTTTAAATGTCGATAATTTTTAATCGTATGGGAATACTCACTTGTGCAGCAGACGCCGTACTGTGGATTGCAAATCGACGTCCCAGGGCAGGGCTGTTGCGGTTCGCAGGCGGCGAAATGGCGTTGCCCATCGACGGGCACCGTTTGACCACCGCCAGGACAGTAGGGGTCTGAAAATTTGCATTTTAAAGAAACTTGGAAGCCGAGCCACGCCCACTTTTTGCCTTCAACGACCCTTAAAAACGGACCAAAATACGTATTCGAAAATCAAAAACTGAATCTCCGCCCCCCCCGCCTCCCTTTGCCTTCAATAGACCTTTAGGCCATCGAAACCAGATAATATCGGGTTTTTAAGGTACAGGGAACTAAAGCCACGCCCATTTTCTGCCTTTAATGGACCTTTAAAACACCGGAAAACTTTTGGAATTGGCTTTTAAAGGGGCTGGGAAGGTAGGAAAGTGAGTTGCAGGAATTCGACGCGGCGCCGCCAAAAACAATGTTTCAAGAAAATTTTCAGTTGAGCGAATGGCGCGGTTGGTAATTCGCCTCCACCCTCCGACCCCAATAGTAAAATATAAAAGAGTTGTATATTAAAAAAAGGAACAAACGAGAAAAAAAATTAAATGAATATCAATATATATAATAAACAAATTAACAAATTAAAGCATGCTATAAAAAAAATCAAAAGTGACTCACTCGCTTTCTCGGCCGATCCCGACGCCGAACCATCCGGAAAGCAGGCCCGGCGTACGAATCTGTCCACCTGCCCGAGATGGCAAATTTCGCCCTGAAATTTTAGATATTTCTTTCCTCAAAGAATCTCTGCTAGCCGCCCAGATAAAATTGATTTTCGAACAGCGTCTTGCTATGAATTACTGCAGCTTTTCGCTCAGGAGGTGCCGATTGGTTGAAACCCATTTTTCTTCACATTTTTCGATTTTTGGTGCTTTGGCATTATCGGGGGATATCTGTTTGTATCCTACCTTATATAATTTTGGGGTGTATCTCTGTGTGTGTGTGTGTGTGTGGATGTCACTTTCGAGGCCCGATTTGAGGGCCTTCCCGTGCATAAAATGCTCTAATTCTCCGTCACTTGGGGGAATCGACCCTTCTGTTTCCGATGGCGTTCTCAGAATTTCGATAAAATACAAGTTTACAAAGTTAAAGCCCGTTTTATTCATTTTTTGGGGGTACCTGAGGGCTTCTTTGCATAACGTGAAAAAATACAAATTTCCTCATTCTTGCCAGTTGCACTCGCGCGTGTTGTGGTCGGCGGGTGGAGGGGTCCGCAGGACCCGAGCTATCAGAAAGTCAAACTTTTCATGCAAAGGCCGCATTCCAGCGCCCAAGGCCCGCGAAGCGGGTTTTGGGCGCTGGTCAGTCTATAAATGGCTAGTAAATTAACTGGAAGTGTTTTATTAGTATTCTTAGTAAACTAAAACTATACTTTGACTAGACAGACTTTAAAAAATTTGGTCAAGTGATTTAAGAATTGTAAAAAGCTATTCAGAAACACCTCCGATATTGGTATTCGACAAATTAGGTCCTCAGGAGTCACCGAATTAGTATGAAAAATGTTCGCAGGGCTTTGCAATTTCGTGAAACTAACGTTTTTGCCGACCCATTTTTCGATCTAAAAAATGTGTTCAACACCATTTGGGAAGTTCATTTCCTCAAAGAATTCCTGCCAGCTTGCCACTGTACGGGCAGTAAAGTGCGAGTGTGCAGTGCGAATTGCTAGAGCAATATTCGCGAAACTATGCGGTGATATGAAACCAAACCTTTTTTTGCAGAAACTTTTGCGAACGGAACGATGTATTGGAAATTTATATGAATTCGTTTCGACAAAGCAAATCAGGGCATGATTTTCACTGTCTGGGCTCGTCGAATTTCTCGCGAGTTTGCAGAGTGGCAAAATCCAAAATGAGCTGTTGATTGCAATCAATGATTTTCGCCGATATCTACAGTTAAACGAAACTTATTTTTTGGCCATACAAAATTCTTCCCAATAGACTAGAGTTTTTAATTTTCCAAGGCAGCGTGAGGGAATGACTAAAACCTTTTTTGCAAAGCTTTGCAGGTTCATGAAACCTATTTTTCCAGGGCTTCTCAACTTTGAAAATCAAGGTCAAGTATGAATTACCTCAAACTTTTTTTCTCAAAGCTGTAAGATTTTATGAAACTTATTTTTTAGCCAAAACTTTTACGACCAAAAAATCTATGCTAAATTTATTTTAATCAATTTCCGCAAAGAATCGCTGCCAGCCTGCCCGAAAAACCGACCGCTTGGCATTGATATTGCTGCGAGCATTCGTCCCGTCGGCACAGCTTCTCCTCACAGAATTCGCCACGTCCACACTCCCATCCAAGTGGACACGGGGCTCCAATTAACGCCAGGCAGCCCGGCAGTAGGAATATGCCTGAATAGGTTTATTACACATATTTTTAACCTATTAAATTCGATTTAACAGCACTAAAAAATAAAATCTTTTGATAGATTTTTGTTCTGCAATTCCGGCTACTTCAAAACCGATAATAACCATAATCATTATCCTTGAAACACGTTCCGTTTTTTGGAGCTTCACCCCATCAGTTAAGTTTACTATAAATTTTTGCTTAGATCCCGAAAATTAGGAAGTGTCTTAGTGTTTTATTTTAAAACATTTAGCTAGAATCCATGCAAAAAAACGCCCTAAAACTTTATAAAAAAAGTTAAAATCAATTTTCGTAAATTTTTGGTTTTTTTTCGTAAACCCTGTGCTGACGATTAAGGTCAGCTAATTATCGTTATTATTCAACATGTCAACAACATATTTTTTCCAGCCCTGTTTTCAGAGTATTGGATCCTTTAGGATGTATTTTTCCAAGACCAACCGTATAAAAATCGAAGGCGCATCAGGCTGGATTGGTTGTACTGGATCTGGATAATCTTCTAATAGGCTCTTTCATATATTAACATCGTAATGAATTCAAAGAGAAGTCTATGGGCAGGCTAGCAGAGATCATTTGGGATGAGAGAGAGGGGGAGGGGGCAGGCTAGCAGAGATCATTTGAGGAATTGGAGCCTGAGCTGCTTTAAGAAGGAAGTGGAAATGATGTGATTCGGGGGAATATTTCGGGACTGATGAATCGTCGGTCTGATTCAGGGTATATTCCAGAAAAAGTATACTTTCCGGGGTGCAGCCCATCCCGCTGGACTTATGCAAATACAAATAGATTGACAAAAATCGCGTCATTCCGCAAAGAAATTCTGCTAGCCTGCCTGGTGAAAGGGAGCAGAGATTTTTGAATTTGGATTTGAGAAAAATTCAATTTACGGAAGCACTAAATAGCGTCAAATTGAGCAATGGTAGAATGACGCGTAGTGGCTGAGGCGTAGAACATATATTCCGGAAAACGAGGTCTCCGAAAATGGTTAGCCAGACTAACAATAAACCCACCAAAATGGCCCTTATTTGCATAGCTTACGGCCCGGAGGGCATATTGTCTGGTTCGCTCTCTCTCTCTCTCTCTCTCTCTCTCTCTCTCTCTCTCTCTCTCTCTCGATCTCACTCTCTCTCCCTCTCGCCTTTTGAACTGGCCAGACAATAGCCATAGATTTGTTTAGATGTTCCGAGGATAAATTTGGTCAGTTTGCATTTGTATAATTGTCTATTGTAGCAATACGGAATTTCTGAAAATATATAGGCACCAGAATCGTTCAATTATAAATCCAAAAGCTATCACTAAAAAGGTTTTTAAAGCGACTTTTCAGGGGTAGAACATCATTTGCGTGAGATTAGCCGACCAATCTTTTGCCTTCAACGGTCCTTTAGAAAACAGATGAATTCTAAATCGAAACTGTTATCACTTTCCATATTTCGATCTGGATGGTAATTTCAGACGAATGCTAGCGGGACAATTACCAAGCGGGGAAATCAATCTTATACATAATTTTTTGAAACACATTTTTTTAAAAATCGGATCCTCGGCCGATTTATCCGACTTTCTGGTAAAATTCAAGACCCTTGTGATGGTTGCTAATGGTTATAAAATTCTTTTAATGCGCGAAAGCATTTCCGCAATAATCTTGATTTTTTTGGGCGAGCCAATTTTATTATTAATTTAAACTTGTTAACAATAGGGGCGCTAATATTGCATGAAATCGACTTTACTATCGATCGGCCATTTTTTGGAAAGTGCAAGGAGAGGGAGCAAGGCGCCAATATTTTTCGGAACTTGCTCGAAAGCACTGATTTTGGTGAAACCCATTGTTTTCATATAGTAAAAGCAGTGCAAAAGAAATGTAGAAGTAAAAAAGATGTCGCGTAATTTGACTAAAAAATTACCGTAAGCTAGAACTTACCATAACGTGACGTAAGGAGTGTAAAACGTAGCGTAACCTAAGACTTACGGTAGCGCAACCTAAAGCTTACCGTAACGTACTGGAGCCTAACTCAAAGCGTGGCGCATGGTGAAACGTAACGTAGAGTAAAACGTAACGTAATGGATATTAAAACGTAACCTAACGGGGAAAAACGTAGCGAAACCTACAAAGTTACTACTAAATAATTAATAAATTAATAATAATCTATGCGGAAACATGAGGAAAACGAGTTACGTATTTTGTGCGTAACAGATTGCAAGGTCAACAGCTAGATCAAGGTATCGCTGCGCCAACAATTTTCGTAAATAGTAATTTTTACGAAACACA